TTACCCATAATCCAAAGCTACAATTAGACTGGAATATAATAAACACAGCATAATTTTTTTTGTATTTTTATTTTTTTGTTCTTTTTTTTTTTTTTGGTAATTAAGAAACTGTAATTTCAATAAACTTAAATTTTCACATCAATCTTTGCCTCCACACACACATACAATTTATGTGTGCTCAATGTTGTGTTGTTGTTGTTYTTCAACACATTTTGAATGTTTTTCTTTTTTTGTTTTTTTATGTCTGTGTATTATGTATTTGCAGTTTCCATTTGGGTTATTCGACTCGTTTTTTTATTTTGTATATTGTAAGCGTAAATTCAATTGCGAAAATATACAGTTATACAGTTTTTATACACATTTGCATAGATCATATTTAAATTCTCGGTTTGGCGTTTGCTCTTGTTGTTGTTGCCAACTCGAATTAWAATTGGATCTACTTAGCTGTCAATATAAGTAATTTCTGTTGTATTTGTATTTTGATTAGTTATCAATTTCCTGTTCTTTTGCAATTAAATGCCCTGATAAACCAAACTTAATATCAACAATAAAGCAGAATGTTGAATTAGTTGAGTTTAGCAACAATTGGCATCATTCGAAAAATAAAATTAGCTTTTTCTTTTTACTTTTTTATATAGTTGCTTCACACACCTGTTTTTTTTTTTTTTTTTTTTTAATTTTCTTCTCTTTTTTGGGCTTGGGATTTTACATTTAAACATATAGATGATAATAAAAATATAAAAAGTAAACACTGAGACATTTAGTTATAACAATTGCACATTGATACTGTTATTGCTGTTGCATTTGCATAATTGCATATAGTAAATATATTTGTATATGTAAGTACGTTATAAATAGTTATCGCATCGATCGTACGATTAATTTTGATACTAGTTCCAGGATGGCAACATCACTGGTTCATTTACTCTTTGAATCCGAATAACCGATTGATTTACATACAAGGAGAAAGAAAAAACAAAGATTTGTTCAAACGGGCACAATAGAACTCATGCCCTTTAAGCTATCCGCGCAATGGAACAAGTTGCTTGCATTGATTTAGTGTGAATATCTACATATATTAATATATATAGCGCTTGTGTATGTTAACCACAACTAGCTTGACTGCAAGACTATATAACCATTTATTTAGTTTACAACAATTTAACACACTGTTTACTCTTCTCTTTTTTTAATCGATAACGGCATTGTAAATGCAKCACTGTGTGTGTGTGTGGGAGACAGAGAAAGCAAATGAGGAAATCGAGAACATAAATTGGTTGAAAATAAAAGTTTAGGTTTATGTTGTTTTTATTTGTTGTATTTTAGAAAAAAAGATAATTACAAATAATACATAATTTGTTTCTTTTGGTTCGTATAGGCTTCTTCTTTGACGACGAAAAATAGAGGGCATTATTTGTAATTACATTATTTATATTGTATAAACCAATTAGCCTTTCTTTATTATTGTTGTTTTTTATTAAGGAAAGCGGCGCAGCGCATTAAACAAAAATAAAAGACAATAAATTTCTTGTTGACTGTGTCTTGTGTTCTGTTTGTTTGTTGTTTGCTGTTTGTATGTTAATGTAAAACAGTATGATAATTATTTATTAAAACATAATTAAAATAAATAATAATATTTTAGGCATATGTATAGTGTACGCAGTTGGCCAAAACAGCGGAATAGTAATTAACTACACAAAACAAAATTCACATCTTT